TTCATATCTTGTCTGACATCTCTGCTACAAAATCTGGTCATCAACTCTGGTTTTCAGTTGAAATTGGAATTGTTAATTTACACAATAATAGAAGTGCATTGACGATTTTTTCTTAACTCGCAAAAATCTTCAAACAATTTGCTACCGATTGGTGATAAAATTTTTTGGAAATAATGAAATAGGGGGGATAACGCCTTTTTTTTCAGGGGTAACTCGGGCTTTCAATTGAAGGCAAAACCTTTTCCTGGAGACAGTTTATTTTCTTCGGGTGAAATTCAAGCATTTTCTGTCTCTCTCTAAAAACCACATGTAAGGCCCTTTGTTCAAGTCATGTAGACTCGAGAGTTGGGGCTGGGCCAGCTCGAGCGATCGCGGGGGTGTTAGACCAACCCTGTTGACTGGATTCAAGGGCACGATTGGTCCCCTACTCTTTTCTGTGGGATGAGCCTAGATTAATTTTTAGAGTAAGAGTAAGCGCAGAGCTACCCCATACGTGGATACGAGAAGTTCGAGAGAACTGGTTATCGTCTTCTCAAGTTTTAAAAACCCAAAGTGTTGTTGTAAAATATCTTGTAAGTTTGAAAAGTACATATAAACGTTTGGATTGGATTATCTCATTAAATTGTGTTCGTGTTCAATTATTTTTATTCGAAAATTCCCGCACTTGAGCAGAGTGCTCAAACCCCTTGCGAAAGATATCTGAAAGTATACCAAAAAGGCAGACTAATGTCCGTCCAAAAGGTATCTTGCAGTCATACCGATAACTTTTAGTTAACTTCTAGGTAACTTCTAGACACAAGTTACCTTTTTGGACAGACATTAGACAGCCTTTTTGGTATTGGAAACGCTGAATATCAAAACGCCACCTATGAATGGCGGATATTGGGCTGCACACAGCAGTATGCAACCCAATTTGGGCTTGTGTTAGCGTGTATATGGGAAGCCTAAAATCGTCCATATTGGTGAAAACGAGCGCCTCCACGGGCATTGGACCCGCCATCTGTTCAACGGAGAACCAGCTTGGAACGTAACACCACCATCCTTGCAGTCGGCCAAACAGTGTCGGCAGAGTAGAAATTGCATGAACGGAGCCCACCCATGCATTCAGTGAAATATTATTTCGGAAATACCGGAGGAAAAACAACAATCGAGGTTTAAAGGTTAGCTTCTACTGAAATTCCCCCCCGAGTCGTTTCGTTAGTGCAATAAACCAGTGCATATCTGTAATTGATCAATGAAAGTAGTGAGAAATAGGGGATAAGATCGTTGTATCGTGGATACTTGTGGAGATAATTCGAGGGATTGTCTCTGGGCTGACTTATACCACCAGTAAACAAACCATCGAGACCTGGTGAACGTGAGGATCATGGCCCTACACAGTGTTCCCCCGAAGCGCAAGGAAATATACAAATATGAGGCTCCATGGCCTCTCTACAGCATGAACTGGTCGGTGAGACCTGACAAGAGGTTCAGGCTCGCTCTCGGGAGTTTTGTGGAGGAGTACAACAATAAAGTCCAGATTGTCTCTCTTGATGAGGAAACCTCGGAGTTCAGTGCCAAGAGCACTTTCGATCATCCTTATCCGACGACTAAAATCATGTGGATTCCGGATAGCAAAGGTAACATGCACATGAAAATTTCATGTAAAAACCCAACGAATTCTACACTGAGAGAAAAACAAACACGTTATCAAACAAGTCTTGTTTGGGCCAACAAAATCGCTAGTTCAAAATTGCTAAAAAAGAATTTGTTTGGNATGAATAATTGTTCTGCTTTCGACAGCAACGAAATATTTGGCTCAAGAGGCGGATAATTCACACCAGACGGTGCCTTTTCAGGATGAAAATATCTCATACAGAGGAAAATTTATCAACAAATATTTTATACCTAAGTTACCAGATTGCTATCATATCATTATTATTGTTTCATTTAAGGGTTCATTTGTTGTCTGTGATTATTAGACAGCCGAAACGAAAAACTACTATCCCTTGTTCCGCATAAAACAAAGATTTTTCGGGAGCAAAATACGTATGGGAGTATCGAATAACGAAGGAGTAGTGCTAGAAATGACATTTTTTGAGTGTACAGAGAATGCAATTTTTTTTGAGCTACTAAATCTATTTTTGCGACACAAATTTTTCATTCCGGCGCACTCTCCGCATATTTGGCACAAAAATCCTTTGTTGATAATTTTATAGAAACCATTTTCTTGGCACAAGCAAGACTTGTTTGAAAACTTTGCCGTTTTTCTCTCAGTTTTGCACATATGACAACATTCAATTGAAAAACTTGGCAAATTCTCCAGAAATTCTATTGGGATTCTATTCAAATTCTAGGGAATTCTCGTCAAAATTCTATTTTTTCCTGCGCTGATTCTATAAGATATTTGATAGGAAAACGTCAATAGATTTCGATTTTTCTATAACAATACTTGGTTCAATTCTTTCTAATTCCCCTATTCACACATTCCTCGTAACATATGGATAGCTAAACGGCGAAAATTGTGACGAAATATTGCCCAGATGTCTCATGATAATTAATTGAAAATCAGTCGTTTATTTATTTATTAATGAGCAATATTTCAGCCGTTTGTGAATGCAAAATGAATTATCCAGGTTTCAAACTTGAGATTAGAAAATTGAAAAAAATTTATGCAAGTTCCCTAGTCTATCGGTTTTTGTCCGATTCTATCGAATAATTTCGCAGCTAAAATACTCTGCATCGCCCACTAATTCACACAAAATAATCCTCCCAGGGCTCTTTCCCGACCTCCTCGCAACATCCGGAGACTACCTTCGAGTGTGGCGAGCAGCAGAACCCGAGACTCGTCTGGAATGCGTTTTAAATAACAACAAAAACTCAGATTTTTGCGCCCCTCTAACTTCCTTCGATTGGAACGAGGTGGATCCCAACTTGATCGGCACATCCAGCATCGACACGACCTGCACAATCTGGGGATTGGAGACTGGCCAAGTGCTGGGGCGAGTGAACATGGTGACGGGGCACGTCAAGACGCAGCTGATTGCCCACGACAAAGAGGTCTATGACATCGCGTTCAGTCGAGCAGGCGGTGGGCGAGACATGTTTGCGTCCGTTGGGGCTGACGGATCCGTCAGGATGTTCGATCTTCGTCACCTGGAGCACTCCACGATCATTTATGAAGACCCTCAGCACACGCCCCTGCTGAGACTCGCTTGGAATAAGCAGGATCCTAATTATCTTGCCACTGTTGCCATGGACGCCTGCGAGGTCATTATTCTCGATGTCAGGGTGCCCTGCACTCCTGTCGCCAGACTGAACAATCATAGGTAATTATGCTGGAATATTGCTTACGAATGGAAGCATTGGAATCGTTCAAATTTGAGTTTTGGATTTTTTTGTGTTATATCGACCTATTATGACCCAAAAAGTCCGAAAATGCATCTTTTTCTAATGAACCAATGGAATTGAATCAGTTTTTTTCTTAAATTAAGGTATTGCTAAGCCCTACCCATCGCCATTAATTAAAATTTAATTCATTGATTCATTTTTTGAATTTTCGAATGTTTTCAAAATTCAGTTGTAACACGCTAACTAAAAAAATGTTCTAAATTCATTGAATGACGGCTTAAAAAATTCGTTGGGATGTCCTTTTGACCGAGTTCGAAGATGAAAGCGGTAGCGATAATCGTTATTTTGATTTCTGTGAAATTTTTCCAAAATTTCGGATTTTTCGAAAATCAGAAATCCGCAGGTGAAAATATAAATAGCGAAACGTGGATAAAAGATGTAACTCTTGAAGTAAATGCCAACTTAATGTGACGAGAGGAGTAATAGAAACGAATAAAAGAAAAACAATCTGTTATATGTAAGAAAGGGATAATAAAAATAATTTAAATGATAGAATTCCATTGAGTAGAAAATCGAAAACAATTAGTTGGAAAGAAATTAATGCAATTCAAGAAAATAAAATAGGCTATGAATAATATACAATGGAAAAAAATGAGTAAAATGACCATTCGGATGCATATTGCTAATTTATTAGCAGAAATAACTATACTATACGCAATACAGGAGCAATTTCCCACTTGTTTGTGTTGGGATAACTAAATATGGTCTAAAAATCCGAAAAATATCTTCTCATTTTCTCCCAGAACCACTCATCATTGACATAATTAGATGTAAAGTGGAAATTATTCCAAATTCGTCATCTCGTCATGTCATTTTTATCATCGACCACTTTCTGCTGTTTATTTTGGCAATGTCTGATTGTTACTGGTATAGGGCGAGTGTTAATGGCATCGCCTGGGCGCCGCACTCCTCCTGTCACATCTGCACAGCTGGGGACGATCACCAGGCGCTCATCTGGGACATTCAGCAGATGCCAAGGGCCATCGAGGATCCCATCCTGGCTTATACTGCCGCTGAGGGCGAAGTCAATCAGATACAGTGGGGCGCCACTCAACCAGACTGGATTGCCATTTGCTACAATAAAGCTGCGGAAATACTGCGAGTTTAATTACGAATATTCTTAATTTGTGAGGTAATTGCGAATATCTTTAGCTCGTTCAAAGATTACAACTACCAAAATTTAAATAAATATGTGTGAAAGTTTTTCGACAGGTCAACGACATGACGAAATTTTTGTCAGACCCAAATTTGGATAGAACAATTGTGCCACTTTCGACAGCCACGAATGATTTTTATAGAATATTGAAAGGAAATTTATCGAAATAACAGAAACGAATTGTTTTGAAAAAAATTAGTAGACAAACCTAGCATTTTCTCCAAGTTAAAAATTCTATCCAGTTCTTATTGGAACTCTATGAGAAGTGTTTTGTAAAAATTTAGTCATCTCATTCTATAGATATTCAAAAAAAATTCATTCTAAGTTGGAGAAAATTCTTTCGAATTGGATAATTTCTTTTGTTTCTCTTTAATTGCAGATCTCAATTGATGATTTCCACCATGAACACTGTTGGATCCTGTAAAATACCATTTCTATCGTAAACTATAGACTGATAGGTTTATACGTGTAACGTTTATACAAATCGAGCAGTGATAATGCGTCGTCGGTGAGTGTTTTGCGGACTTGAGTGAACCTTATCTTTCATTTTTTTTTCAATTATTTATCTTCCATCGAGCACTTCTCTGCAGAAATTTTCCTCAGAAGATTTTCTGTTCTATTTAACGAGGAGAACAATCTTTCGATGGGAACGTCGTGATCAAATTTTCTCCAATACCAAAACGCATATTTACAACTAAGACAATTAATTAATTAATTAATTAATCGTGACATGAAAAATGAACGTACTTCATAGAATTAATGAGAGCAAGACTCATCGATGAATGAATTCAACAAATAAGTGATTGATTGATCAATTAATTGATTCAGCTGACAGAAGAAACCGAACAAAATTGAGTCACAGAAAAAAAATTGTAAATAATGTTAATATTTTCTTCGCGTCTTTCTTTCCATTTTAATTTATGATGAGACGTTTAATACGAATAATTATCCCCTTTGATAGATGGTATCTGAGATACCGGTGATTCGGTTGAACACAATGTCAGTATTTTTTCATTAAATTTGATATGTTGATTAAATGTAAACGTAGATTAAGGGTAGATAGAGTAATTTTTGAGACGTAACAACGCAATAAATGAATATCAAGTCATAATCTTTTATTATTGTTGGCGAAATTCACTGAGGAATTTACAAAAATGGTCTTACAATGCTTTTTCGATTGGAGGGTATTCAACGGAAGAATTTTATTTTTCATGGACAGTGTTGGGAAATATTTTTTATTGGGAATTTTTTTTTTTTAAGTCTCTTGTGACAAGCGTCACTCGAGACAATCACACAAAATTAGAGGATTTATGAAACGTTACAGAAAAGACTTCGTCTTGTTAAGTATTTATTTATTTTGAAAATTTGTGATTTAGGGAGAGTGTCGAGAGACTTTTTCGTTGGAGAATTAAATTTCCATAAAAATCTCTGCTGATGTTTTTTGGTAAAATCACTCTTTCTCGAAATAATTGTACAGAAGTGGACGTATAAAATGTAGCAGAATAATCAATTTTCTTATCTTGTTAGACATGGAATAATTTTTTTGTTTTAAATTTGATTTTCTACAAAATTGCACTTTGAAAATCCCTCATAAAATCACTCATTCTCGAGATTTTATGAAAACAGAAGTGAATTTGTGAAACTTAACAGAATAGTCTATTTTTTTGTCGTTTTGGTGAACATTGAATAATCTTAATAATTATTGGTTTTAGAGGGAAGTATCAAAAGAAATTTTCTGTTGAAAATTTAATTTTCTAGAAAAACATTTGCTGAGAATCCTCTGACAATCGTTTGTTTTGAAAATAATTACACCAAAACAGAAGTGAAATAAGTGATTTCAAGGGAAAATGTCAAAAGACGTCTTTCCTAGAAATTCAATTATCTACAATAACGTTTTCTGCGAAATCCTCATAAAATTATTCGTCCTCGAGATCATTTTACAAAAGCGGAAGTGGATTTATGAGACGTATAATCTCGATATTGAGTGGTTTTAAAAGAAAATGTCAAGAGACATTTTTCGTTGGAAATTTAATTGTCTCTAAAAAAATTTCCCAACAATCCCTCATAGATCCATTCATTCCCAAGACAATTAAACAAAAAAGAAATAGTCTATTTTGTCGTCATGACTTCATCAGAAAGTCTCAACATGTTTTGACATTTTTTTCCAATTCCATTCAAAAGAAATGTTCCACTTGGACATCCTCAATGAAAATTCCCTTCGTTCCTAGTTTTCCTAATTACCAAAATGACAGATGATTCTATGTACAATAGACCAATGACAAGTGCGTATTATAAATAATATAGTCATCAAATAATAATAATTATAATATAATAATCGAGGACTAATTGAGACTATCGACTAAGTTCCATCGAAACTGAGTGAGAAGACTATTCCAATCAGTCGTCCCCCTTTAATACTATAAATAACCATCAGTAATCGTCAACTCTGATGCAGAGCAAGTCTCCCAAAATTTATCCTAGAGCCTAACAATTTAAAAAAGCCGTATCAAGGCCTTGTCAATGAGGATCGAGGGGATATGTCGGTGAAATTTAAGAGACGTATCCCCCTTAACAATGCACAGCGTCATTTCACGATACTACGAGAGTCTACGAACGCCGATAAGCGTTCACATCCAGTAGATAATACTGACTGCTTGGAATAAAATGATGCAAGATCATTGATCATCAAGGTGAGGACAGGCGGAAGATCTGTTTCTGCATTAACGGTCACAACACTTTTTTCAAGGAGTATTTGATGGAAAATTTTGGGGATCCTCTCTCAACTCTTTCTTATGGTGCCCAAAAAATTGAAAAAAATCTGTATTTTTATATTTAGTGGAAGGACTGTCTATGAATTTTTTCAGATTTTTTCATCATTCGTGTTGAAAATAAATTTCAGGTGCAGTTAACCGCAGAAAAAAAGTTCGAGACAAAATTCCGGTTTTTACCTGAATTTTTCAAATAAAATTTTTAGTGCAGGAAAAAGCGAGAGAGTTTGATGCCTAGAATCATTCTGAAAATTTCATTTTTTACGTATTTTGGACTGTCCGTTTCAAACTTTAGAAACTTTCATAGAAAAAATCAGTTGAATTTTTCCTATATAATTTTTTCCATTGAGACTTTTCCATGGGAATTCCTCGACATGAATTTACGTTTCTTTCACTCTATTGTTCGTGTTTTCCATTAAAAAAATCGACTCTCTTATGGTATCCAAAAAATTGAAAAAAAATCTGTACTTTTATGTTTAGTGAAACTGTCTATGAATTTTTAACATTTGTGGGGGAGATGAGTGGATCCGAAGAAATTTTGAAAAAAGTTAATCTTCAGGTGCAGTTAACCGCAGAAAAAAAATTCGAGACAAAATTCTGGTTTTTACCTGAATTTTTCAAATAAATTTTTTAGTGGAGGAAAAAGTGAGAGAGTTTGGTGCCTAGAATCATTCTGAAAATTTCATTTTTTACGTATTTTGGACCGTCCGTTTCAAACTTTAGAAACCTTCATAGAAAAAATCAGTAGAATTTTTGAATGAATTTACTAAGTTTCTTTGAATGAATTTACTAAGTTTCTTTCACTCTATTGTTCGTTTTTTCCATTAAAAAAATCGACTCTTATGGTATCAAAAAAATTGAAAAAAAATCTGTACGTTTATGTTTAGTGAAACTGTCTATGAATTTTTAACATTTCTGGGGGAGATGAGTGGATCCGAAGAAATTTTGAAAAAAAGTTAATCTTCAAATGCAGTTAACCGCAGAAAAAAAATTCGAGACAAAATTCTGGTTTTTACCTGAATTTTTCAAATAAATTTTTTAGTGCAGGAAAAAGCGAGAGAGTTTGATGCCTAGAATCATTCTGAAAATTTCATTTTTTACGTATTTTGGACCGTCCGTTTCAAACTTTAGAAACCTTCATCGAAAAAATCAGTAGAATTTTTGAATGAATTTACTAAGTTTCTTTGAATGAATTTACTAAGTTTCTTTCACTCTATTGTTCGTTCTTTCCATTAAAAAAATTGACTCTCTTATGGTATCCAAAAAATTGAAAAAAAATCTGTACTTTTATATTTAGTGAAAGGACTGTCTATGAATTTTTAACATTCGTGGGGGAGATGAGTGGATCCGAAGAAATTTTTAAAAAAAGTTAATCTTCAGATGCAGTTAACCACAGAAAAAAAATTCGAGACAAAATTCCGGTTTTTACCTGAATTTTTAGTAGAATGACTGAGAAAAAAAAATTGGTGTATAAACTCCCCACTACAGCCGTTTATAACGTGAAAATCCTCCTCCAAAATTTTTCCAACACTTTTTATTTTCATATATTTGACATGACGCATCGCAAAATCAATAATGTAGGGATTGAAATCACTCAATTTCTCACATCCACTGACAGCTAGGATTTTTCACAGATGAAAAAGCAGTTGAAAGGAAATTTCCGAAATGTTCCACCAAATATTTCTGGCATTTTGAAAAAAGTGATGATCAATTCATAATCGCTACCTTATCCAATCGTTAATTATCTTGTGGGACTAGAGGAGAATTCACGCGCGAATTGATGAAATGAGTCGATTTATCACATTTTCTTAATTATCTTGAGAGTGAGTCATTTCACGAGAAAAAAATGGCAAATCTCTTTTGCTGATAATTTTCAGGGCTGCGAAAAATGAATAAAATATGTGCCATCTGCAGTAGATTTCCTCACATTTCACGAAAACGTCAAATAAAATTGACTTATTTCGTTTTACAATTCACATTTTAGAAAATATTTCGAAATCTAATGGTGATACCAGAACTTTAGCCCAGGAAATTTCTGCAAACAAGATTCGTCTGAATTTTTTATCTCCAATACAACGAAAAAATTCTGATAACCAATAGTCAAATAAAATCGATTCACTTTTTCCCTTCCATCAATTAGAAGTTAATTTTAAATTACTCTCTTGACTAGAACTAACGATTCCCTAACCAGTCAAGAATGCCCAAACAACAATAAACAGAAGATTAGCCCCAGCTTGAACCCCGCGAATCCACTGAGAGTCCAATTAAATTTCCCCAAGTGCCAGAATTACCTTCAATTTTCAAATAAAAATTCCACAGATCTCAAATACCTTAACTAAAATAAAATTTGCGCCAATGCTCTTGCCCTGTGACGAGTCATAAAGCTTCGATGGAAGTTCAACTATTTACATGACAAAAATAATCCTCCGATTCAATAAAATCACCGAATCGAATGCAAAGCGGTAACCCTTTTTACGTCGATGCAGAACGGTCAGTTTTTAATGAATATCTCGGAACCCGAGGGAGATAGCAATTTTTTTGTGAAAATCTTTTTCGTAGAGCGAATTGAGAGCTACAAAAAAGGTCGTGACGAGTATTTCGCTGTTTCTCTTAGATTCGGAGATATTCGTAGAAAACTCAGCGAAGAGTTGAGTCGACTTAAACCGGTTTACCGTTTCGCTATTAAACGGTTGTATTTCCGATCTTTCTATAAGACACATAATTTGCTGGAGATGTAGTGAAGGTGGAGGACGGTGCAGACCATGGTCATGATGTTTCCCATGGCGATGAACATGTGGGCCTTCCGAAAGGCCCCGTGGAGCTTCAAGTAGTGGGGACAGTGCTTGAGACTCCCCGGATTGTGCTTACCCACCTCATTACCCACCCCCGCAGCGCGCTCGATCAGAGTCTTCTGCGACATCAGACTGATGAGGGGTGGGGTGAGGTACAGGCGGACCAGGAGCTCGATGAAGAAGGCGGTGGTCATCCCTGCCAGTTGCACTGTGATTTCCGATTCCCAGATGCGCCCCGAGTGGTGTTTCGCGAAAATTAGGAGGGTGGTGAAGCTCAGGCAGGCGTTTATCGTGAAGTATCGGGGGAAGAGGACACGCTGAACCTCCCCGAAGCTGTGGCGGGGCAGGGCGAAGTACAGGGAGAGACCTGGAATCAGGGAAAATTGAGATGTTGAAGATTATTGTAGTGGACACAAGGAAAAAACGAGGTTTATTTAATTTTTTTTCGGCATTAAGCTGCAGTGGGTTATTTACAAACTATTTGTATTGCTATATATGTACACTGAGAGAAAAACAAACAAAAGTGATAATAACTGATAAGTGATATTATGAGAACTCAATGAATCATTGAATTCAATTTAAGATCCATCGTCTCAGAAATTTCACTCGGAGGTAATTTGCTAGTTTATCAGCAAAAAGATGTTGACTATGCGATGACGAAAGCAATTTCCCATTTGTTTCCGAATGATCTGAACAGTCTTCAACAGACTCTCAGAAACCTGGAGAAAAAATCCAGGGCTGTATTAAAACATTTAATGAATTGATATTCACCAGAAACAAAAGTCATCCAAATTTGCGCCCCAAAATGCAAAGCGAAAGACGTTAAGTAGATTAAGGACATGATTCTCGCTCGTGGCTGTCCTCGACTGTTGATTCTATCTGAAGTGGGCACAAGTGCTGATATCACACACAAAACTGCAGCTATCATGATCACGTGAGCCGGCTGAGTTGTCTGGAAGAGAATCCTGGAGTCAAACGAGAAAATAATAGCTATTAGGTAATTTCCGAATAAACGCCATGATTCATTGTCAATGATGCTCCTGACGTTTCTCCATTCACATGATTTTATTTTCGTAAACTACGGTACGAGCCTCTGGCGGCAGCTCAAGACCGCCTCCTCAGGGCTCGGCTAATGACGAAAGCCACTCTCACGAGTTATTCTCGATAAGTTGCGAATAAACATTAACGGTCATGTGAAAATTTGAGGGACAACACGGACGAAAAAAATTAATAGAAAAACCTATCGAATTCGTGAGAAAATTCTGTTGAATTTCTATTGAACTGTTCTGTTAGTTTTTGGCCGATTCTATTGAAATGTTCAATAGAAAATATTCTGTGGAAAAAGTCAATAGAATTCAATTTTTCTATATAACTTATTCTATTGAGATATTTTCTATAGAATTTCCTCGGCTCAAATTTTCCAAGTTATTTCGTTTGATTTTCTTGATGAGAAGAAGAGAAAAATAGAATGAAAAAAACTTGGAAAATTTGAGTTGAGCAAATTCTATAGAAAATATGTGAAAAGAATAAGTTATATAGAAAAATCGAATTCTGTTAACTTTTTCTATTGAATATTCAGTAGAAAAAGTCAATAGAATTCAATTTTTCTATATAACATATTCTATTGAGATATTTTCTATAGAATTTCCTCGGCTCAAATTTTTCAAGTTATTTCGTTTGATTTTCTTGATGAGAAGAAGAGAAAAATGGAATGAAAAAAACTTGGAAAATTTGAGTCGAGCAAATTCTATAGAAAATATGTGAAAAGAATAAGTTATACAGAAAAATCGAATTCTGTTGACTTTTTCTATTGAATTTTTTCTATTGAACATGTCAATAGAATCAGTCAAAAACTAATAGAAAGTTTAATAGAAATTCAATAGAATTTTCTAACGAATTCGATAGGTTTTTCTACTAAATTTTTTCGTGCGTCAAGAGGTGCTGGTGTTGCAGTTCTTGTTAACACAAGACATTTGCCGATCCTCTCGTGTTTATTTTATGCGACGGTTGCTCTCAATTTTAATGTCCACTTGGACGTCGTCAGAAGTTGATTGACTTATGGGAAAATGGATTCGTTTGATTTTACTGTTGAGGGAGAATTAGATCAGGCAATTGGGCGCAGAGCGTTTGTTGTTCACTGAACAAACCCGCGAGTTCGATAGAAAAATTTTTTACGCGCGGTAACTTGAGAAAAAATGGAGATAGCAAGTTGAAATTTGGTGTGATCCAGGCTCTTATGATACTAAAGGTTGTAAAATGTAAAATGTGAAGTGCAAAATGTATTTTCGGCCCTACGATATTCCCCGGGCAAGAGCTACAAATCATTCGCAGTCCCTTGGGCGCTTCGATTCAAGGAAGCGATAAATCTTCGCCGACCGCCCAAACTGGATCTCCTTTTTTGCCGAACACTTCTCACTTTTTTCGCGTTCATCTGCCTTTCCAAATTACTTCACTGCGCCCCCACTCACCCTTCGAGATCACCTGTCAGCATTCGCCAATGACTAATTGATTCCGACTGTTCGGGCTAACGCGCTGTTTCACGAAACGGCAATTACATGGACTGAACGCTCAATATGACTCTCAGAATTGAAAGATAATTGGGATGTACACTGAGAGAAAAATAAACACGTTGTTAAACAAGTCTTGTTTGGGCCAACAAAATCGCTAGTTGAAAATTGCCAGAAAAGAATTTGTTTGGTTCGAATTTGAAAGTCTCAAA